AAATGTTCCACTTGACCTCACGGAAAGCTTGATCAAGGATGAAATAGACTGTCCGTTTAAGATTTCCTCTGTGCGGAGGCTTAATAGAAAAGCAATTGATCCAACAACAAGATCGGTGAGTTACATTCCATCAAAATCCATTGCTATCACTTTCGAGGGTCAAAGTATTCCACAATATCTTTATTTATATATGATTAGATATGAAATTTCCCCTTTTGTTTCCAAACCCTCTCTTTGTTACTCTTGCTATCGATATAGCCATATAAAAACCCAATGCAGAGGGCAACTACGTTGCTTCCACTGTGGCGACAAATCTCATGAAAGCGATACTCCTTGCCCTTAAAGCGATCAACCACCCTCATGTATTAATTGTAAAGGTCCTCACAAAACCAACGACCTTTCCTGCCCAGAATGGCTCACTCAAAAAAGAATACTAGAATTAGCTGCTTACAAAAATGTCCCTATCCTAGAGGCCAAAAAAATCATTCGCGGATCTAACAACAAAGGGTGTCTTCTGAAATGCGCTGAAAGTACTGACAGTACTGTTTTCGCGTTCCGAAAATGTTTTCAGCATGCTGCAAGAGAATAATAATTACTACCTTTTTAACAAAAATAGGTCCTAGGGAATTGCTGACTTCCGGCTGATTTTGCACATACTCCCAAAATAGCGCGAGTTCAGTAATGCATATGGCGGTTAGCAGTTTCGTAAAACGTGAATGAAATGTTGAATCGGAAAAAAAGGAAATACTTTTTTATTAATCACAACATGTCATTAAACAATGCTCTAACTTCTTTGTCTCTTTTTCTAGTGCTTTTTCTACTGCAAATACGTTCCGATTTTCATTGCTGCCACAGTCTACTGACAATTTCGGAACGATTGAAATACGTTGATTTCAGCAGCAGTATTGTCAGTACTTTCAGCGCATTTCGGAAGACACCTGTAATATCACCTAACGCGTAGCGGAAATCTTCACGCATTTCAAAGTCTCAGCATACTTTGCGCATGCGCACTGCAATTATAAAATAGACTTATTTTGCACGTAATTAAAAAATTTATCAATTCACAAACGTAACATTGATATATTTGTAAATCACAAACGATTTCCTGTCGATTACAGCTATCAGTTATCATAAAATTTGTTTATTACTAAAAAGTATTGGCTGACATCATGACTAAACTAAAATTGTTAATTACAAACAACCTAATTTGTCACAAACGTTAAAAACAGACTCACAATCAATCACAATTAATTTACAAATGAAAAAAGTTAAAAATAATCATATGTAATAATTTCTGCCGGCTAGTTTCATGTAGATCGCTCGTTTGCAGACGGGTGATGTTTCCAAACGCAGCCTTAAGCCCGTATCAGACTATGCATTAAAGATTGAGATTCAAGATTCAAGATTAAAATTTGACCAATCAGAACAAAGAAATTTTAATCCTTTTTGTTCTGATTAGTCAAATTCCAATCTTTAATCTTCAATCTTCAATTTTTAAGGCGTAGTCTAAAGCCCGTATCAGACTATGCATTGAAAATTGAAGATTGAAGATTAAAGTTTGGAATCTGACTAATCAGAATAAAAGGGATTAAAATTTCTTTATCTTGATTGGTCAAATTTCAATCTTGAATCTTGAATCTCAATCTTCAATGCGTAGTCTGATACGGGCTTAAGGGGTACTAACAATTTTGATATGTACCAATCACGTATATAGTCAAACCGAACTTACTCGAAAGAAACCGAAAAATATTGCCACGATTTCTATAATATATAGAATATATATATTTTATATTATATAGAAGCTGTGAATACTGCACTCTAATCCCACTCTATTAGCGTTTTCGAATGTAGCAGGTTTAATCGCTCTCAGAGCGATTAATGACGTCAATGCATCATCTCTGCCAATAAAAGGCTTGAATTCATAGTAAAATATAATGATTAATTGAACCGGATTGGGTTAACCCCTTCATTCGAAAACGCTATATTTTTAAATCTTTCCTTGTCCATATCGCCAACTAATAGCATTTTTGAATAAACGGGTTAATTCAACGGATCAATTAATCACTATATTTTACTATGAATTCAAGCCTTTTATTGGCAGAGATGATGCATTGACGTCATTAATCGCTCTGAGAGCGATTAAACCTGCTACATTCGAAAACGCTAATAGAGTGGGATTAGAGTGCAGTATTCACAGCTTCTATATAATATAAAATATATATATTCTATATATTATAGAAATCGTGGCAATATTTTTCGGTTTCTTTCGAGTAAGTTCGGTTTGACTATATACGTGATTGGTACATATCAAAATTGTTAGTACCCCTTAAGCCCGTATCAGACTACGCATTGAAGATTGAGATTCAAGATTCAAGATTGAAATTTGACCAATCAAGATAAAGAAATTTTAATCCCTTTTATTCTGATTAGTCAGATTCCAAACTTTAATCTTCAATCTTCAATTTTCAATGCGTAGTCTGATACGGGCTTAAGGGGTACTAACAATTTTGATATGTACCAATCACGTATATAGTCAAACCGAACTTACTCGAAAGAAACCGAAAAATATTGCCACGATTTCTATAATATATAGAATATATATATTTTATATTATATAGAAGCTGTGAATACTGCACTCTAATCCCACTCTATTAGCGTTTTCGAATGTAGCAGGTTTAATCGCTCT